AGAGAGAGAGAGAGAGAGAAAAAGCTGTAACCACTTCTACATCTTTTAAAATAGTTTCTGTGATTTTCAAAAAGAACTACAGAAATCGAGGAAAAAAAAGAGCAAAAAACTGTTGAACGTTTGTTGACATGTAAAACTGTGACAATGAAAAAGGAAGTAAAGTCAACACAAAAGCAGACTGGTCAAATATAAATAACTTCACATATCACTCTGACCTGAGGTCAGCCAGACTGTACAAAGTCGAGCTGCGCAGACAAGCAACATCTTGAAATACACATTTAATCCTGATTTTTATATTACAGAGATTTGTTGTAAGCTCTATTGGGAGGAATGTCTATAAAATAAAACCAAATGTACTCAAAGTACTTGATAGGATGTGTGCAAGTATTCTCTGAGTCTTTGTTGGAGACATTTCACTTCCTGGAAACATCTTCCTTTTTTAACCAATGCTCCAATCTCAAAGCTGAAGAGGGAATAACTTAAATTAAGGAGTTAATTTATTTGCATCTCAGAAGATCCTTTCCCATCCTGATTTTTTGTTTGCATTTTTGTGACCAAATAAATAAGAATATAGAAGTAGCCGTTACCATTGGACCATTTTGGATTGTTTTGCACATCCTCCTCATCCTCCTCCATCGCATGATCATCTCCGTTCTTCTCCTCCATCATCTCAGAAGTCACCACGTCCTACAGAGAAATCAATCATCTTTTATGTCCGAGAATAACAGAGAACACTTAGATAGCTAATGTTAAAGTCGGCTACAGACATTTCTTGGTATGAATCAACAAAAAATGGAATTGTAGAAGTTCCTCCTGCTGATATCTGTCATCATCCTCAGAACGAGGAAACAAAGTCAGCATGAAAGCGGATCCATGTGACTGAAATTATGCATCACTCAGCATTATATTACAAACCACTGAATCATAAAAACATGACCAAAAGTCAGCAGTTTGAGAAGATGATTGATGAAGGAAACCGACAAATTAATTATAAGAGAAGGAATTATTTTAGTTTAAAAAAAGGCAGAATATACAATCATCATGTTTATTGATCTAGAAGTGTCAAATCTCAGTATGCCAGACGGTACTTAATAGAGAAGATTTGAAAAAGCTTATAAACTAATGGATAAACCGCTCAATGTTAGAAACAAAGTAATGGATTAAAAGTTAGTTAGTGCATTGGAAAAAGTTCGCTATTGGCTGTTAATAGATGTAAGCTAATGGATAAACAGTTAGCCAAAAGTATTCATACTATGCTTAAAGTAGGCTTATGGATAATCTACAGAAAATTAGCTAATTATAACAGTTGATATATCCTAGTAGTTATAACATAAACAAAAGGATAAAGAGTTGATGGCTGGCTAAAACCTGGCGAATGACTTAACTGTGAAACGGCTTACTTCGTATTAAAAGTAAGTTAGCTACAGGGATTGGGTAAACACTTATTATGTACTGTTAGCTTTTAAATTATGGGAAAAACTGTCTACAAGAGAATAGATGGCTTTACAGTGAGATAACTTAGCTTGTTGTAATAGATAAATATTTTATATAAGCTTAAAGTCGTGAATAAACACTAAAATACTAATGCTAAAAGTTGGCTAATGGCTAGCTAGCTAGCATAGAATTTGTTTGAAAAAAGGTGAAGAAAAGAGGATGTTTATTAAACGCAGTAGATAAAAGGTTTAAAAAGTTAGTCAAAGTTAAAAATGTCTTTGTGGTTTAAATAGTAAACTTTAAAGGCTTTCTATGTGATTTTTTTGATCCAGCAGATGTCGCCCTTGAGCACCAGCATGAAACCAAAACAACTCGCGCTGCATTGTCGTGTTAGCATGCTAATGCTAGCGATCTTTATTATGCTGGTATCTTCACACTGCATGTAAATTTACCTGAAATGAGCGTGATCTAGAAACACAGTTAAGCAGTGAGTACAGTATGTTATTCTTCTTTTCTCTAGTCCCTCAATTAAACAACTTTTATACACGAGGGGAGGAGTCAGCCGGCCGTCCCGGCGATGTAAACAAAGTGAAGATAGGATTGTAGACAGTCATGACTCACAGAGTTATTTTCAGAGGAGATACTTGATTTCTACATTTAAGTGTGAACAATCACATATAAAGCCTAAGTTGTGAATAAACACTAAAATACTATGCTAAAAGTTGGCTAATGGCTAGCTGGTGTAGAATTTGTTTAAAAAAAGGTAAAGACAAGAGGATGTTTATTAAATGCAGTCGGTAAAAGTTTAAAAAGTTAGTCAGAGTTTAAAAAATGTTGTTGTGGTTTAAATAGTAAAACTTATACAATGAAAGTGTAGATATAAGTACAGCTCCAATATATAACAAGTGTGACTACAGCAGTCTTAACCCTGATGAATCAGTTGTACATAAACATACTCACTTCACTTCTACATGGCGTGTTGTGTAACATCCACTGTTATAATCCATCCATGATGAATGGCGCCAATGAAGAGAAGGCCTTTCACTGTTGTCCCGGTCATGTAAGGGTTTGCAGCCACATTCCTGATCTGATACAACAGTTAAACATGTCAGGCTTTAACTAGACGACTGGAATCTATTTCTGCACATCCTCTAGATAAGCCACAGCTTTTTTTTTTTTTTATCACTGATTACAATCCCTGATTATTTTTAAGTGACTATAGAAAGACGATAAGGCTCGACCAAACCAGAGCCTTCCTGCTCAGATGCTGAAGAAAAGAATAGCACCCTCCATGACATGTAAAAGGTATATGCATCAAGTTATTAAGTAACCAAAGGTGAAAAAGTGTGAGCAGCAAAACACACTTCATAAAAAACAATAATATATATATTTTTTTATTTGTAAATTTTATTTCATTCAAACAAACAATAAAGTTAAGAAAACAAACATAAAATCTCAACTTTTTAATGAAAAGGAGCAGAAAGAAGACTAATCTTATAATATCTGTCCCTCTTTCACAAAACATCAATTAAAACAAAACAAAACACTTAATTCAAACACAATAAAAATAAAAATAAATTGGCTGCAGGCAAACACAGCCACTGGCATCCCCATCGTAGATCCTCCTTACCAATTCATTTTACACCGTACAAAGCATATCACAATACAGCATCACGAAACAGAACAGTACATCTCACTGACATATTTCCTAATTTTCTTTTAAATATCATGTTTGATTTAGATTCTTTAGTTTCTCTGTTGAGATTGTTCCATAAGCTGATTCCTTTCACAGTAAAACAACAACAATAATAGAGTTATTAATCATGAAGGGAATCTTCCTTTCAGATTCTCGTTGTTGTAAAACATTTTGTATTGATTGTATCATTGGATATGTCCTTTCAAATGTGAGTTTACATATACACTGTACTGCTTAATGGAACAGTAGAGTACTGCATTATGTATGAATGTATGTAATAGACTTATCCTCATGCACTGGATTTCAGGGCTGTTGCCTTTTACTGTAATGAAAAAGAGCTGATCTCATCTGCTGTCAAAGATTATGACCCCCATAGTTAGAGGACCAAATGTATTTTTTTTTTTGTCTTTATAGCTGCTTATACTTAAAATGTCCAGAATGCTATTTGTTATCACAGCGGTGTATGCATGCTCTGTTCATGGAAGATAAGAGGCAACTTAAACCGATGCACTGCACCAGAACAGGGACCCTTCACAGACCACATCCTGTGATGTTTTTAACGGCTCTTGCGTCTGTGACATAATGAAAGGAAGGTGATAAAAATGAAATAAAAATAAATGCCGATTAGAGGCACAACCAGCTCTCTGTAGATGTCCTTCTACCCCCACTCTCTCGCCTGCCCGTCTGTGACGCTGCCACATTTCACCACTGAAGTGTGAAAACACTGCTGCAGCTGTAAAGTCAACTCTTTACCTCTTTCTCAGCCTCGCTCTTTTGGCTTTACTCCTCTCTGCTTTCATCTACTGTCTCATTCTCACTCCCTTGAATGTTAAGAAAGTCAAACTAACTCTGGGCAGAGTTATCATTTACTGCTAACTTTGCAGCTTTACACAAGAGGAGACCAAATCATAATATTGTTCACACAGCACAGGCAGAAATGGTACTTTTTGTTCAGTGTTGGAAAGAGGAAACAGCATGATTATTATCATGAGCGTGGTGAAAAACTGAACATACATTCTGTTATCTTAAAGCTTCATCTTATCTATTTTTAAACCCATGTGTGTTGAAAGTTACTTTCATATATTCAGCGGGTTGTGTCAGGTCGAAGAGCGATTCATATTCATAATTTTAAGTCAATTTTAAGTGTTCTGGGATGATTTTTCTCAAAAAGTTGGAAAGTTCAACGTTGCATCATTGTCATGTTTCTTCTTTTTAATTCTGCACTTTTTCTTTTTTTTGCTACTACATTTTTTTATTGTTTTTTCAACAGAAAAAACATCAACAACATAACATCAGAATGACTGCCAGACATTTAGACATGTTCAATTTTAGGTCATAACCTAAGTAGTGCAGTTCACAAGGGGTCTTTAAATAGCTTCTCATAATTGACATGATCAAATAAAATGAAGAATAAAATAAAAAATAAATCAGTGAAAGGGAGGCAAACGACATAAAGTTGTCAGAATGAGTGGGGCAAACCACCTAGCACCTTATCTATTGATCTGTCAAATATTGTCTCCATTTTGAACAAGTCCTTTCTTACTCTCAATAAGAAAGTCAGTCTTTCCATCTCATGAATCCCTTTCATAATTTCGAACCAGTTATCTACTGTGGGCGGATCAGTCTGTAACCATTTACGGGTGATCGCTTTTTTTGCTGCTACTGAAAATATTTTCAGAAGGTATCTATCACCTCCTTTTATTTTGTCAGGCAGATCACCCAAATAAAATGAGATAAAAGTTAATGGTAACAGTTGTCCAAGAATCTGCACATATACCTTTAAATGTTTGCTGTCACTCCTTGAAAACAAAACAAAACATCATCGAGCACGTCTTACCTGTATTTTAGATGAAAGTCCATCATGTCAACAAAAGTGTGATCATTATAATCCTCTGTCGTCTAGTATTTGTTTCCAGATGTCCACATGTATGGTGATAGATTGATTTAATGCAGAGCTGCTACTGCACCCTCAGACTGTGGCGTATGTTACTTTCACGCTCAGATGAGACTCAGCAGTTTCCCTCCTACTTCTCCTTCTCTTGGTTTCTCTCCTTACTTCTCTCTCTCTCTCTCTCTTGTTCTTTCTCTAAGCGTGTGACTCAGATCAGCCGGCCTCATGACTGCAGGAATGTGGTTGTTGGTTCTCAGCTCACACAACACTATGATTAGTTCAGCCAATTTTTTTTTAATACTGTGTGTATGCAGAGGCCAATTAAGAAAGCCTCAAGCCTTTATTAAAAGTGACACCTTTGATCTCAGTTGGATTTTTGTGAGTTTAAGTCTGGCTTCTCTTGAGGAAAATGTTTCATGATTAATGAAAATATATGCTAAAGTCCTCAGCATTTCTGTTTGTTTTCAGTGGCATTATGTCAAACTTTTCACAGAACTTTTCATTAACTCATGAAGTCTGAGGATATTTGTGGGGCAATGCAGGATTTAATTCAATGCAGCTAATTCACACGGTGATAACATAGGGAATAATAGTGGGGAATTTTAGGCATACAGCTGTTTAAACACATTATAAAGAGAAAGGTTAAACTAATAGTACATTAAAAATAAGAAGGTCGATTTCCCCTGAACAGCATCAGGAAGATCAGACTTCACCTGTCAGAACATGCTCCTCTCTGCTTTCATCTACTGTCTCATTCTCACTCCCTTGAATGTTAAGAAAGTCAAACTAACTCTGAGCAGAGTTATCATTTACTGCTAACTTTGCAGCTTTACACAAGAGGAGACCAAATTATAATATTGTTCACACAGCACAGGCAGAAATTGTACTCTTTTTTCAGTGTTGGAAAGAGGAAACAGCATGATTATTATCATGAGCACGAGCATGCATTCTGTTATCTTAAAGCTGCATCTTATCTATTTTTAAACCCCTGTGTGTTGTGTTTAGGGTTTATGCCATAACCCTAAAACAAAAGCTTAAACAACAAAAACTGAGTTTGCACACTTGAAATGAAAAAACTGCTGATTTGCACTAACATTTCAGAGTATGTTTTAACTTCAGGAGGTAAATGCCATTTCTTTTTTACTGCTTTGTCAACAGATAAACTGAAAAGTTTAAGTTTTTAATGATAAATTAATTGAATAGTATTCATTATTATAAAAACTCCAATAACTGAATGAAAATCAAAGTATAAACCATATAGCTGAAAGTGCTATTCAAAACTCTGTATTTTGCAATCTTGTTTTATGATTTAACTATGGCCTACAGGATTTCACAATTACACACTTTAACGGTGGCAGTATGTTCTGTTTTTTTTTTTTTAAGAAAAGCCTGCCCCCTAGTGGATACAATAACTTAGTGGAATGAATAAATGATATTGAGCTGCAGAGATAAATAAAGAAATTTACTGGAAAAGTATATTCATGAAGGGAAATTGATAACATGCAGTCTTATTACCATCTGTCTGGTTGCAGCATTTATCTATGACTACACATTTATTTAACAATATTGTGAAAAATGACATCAAGATCTACCACCTCATAGTAGAAATATGTGCAACAATTCTTATGAAAACAACAAATCTACTCAGGATATGGTAGGATACTTGATGAATATGTAGGCTATATCCATAAAAACATTTTTTTTTTTTTTTTTTTATAAAAATGCATCAACCAAAAAGTTTACATCACTGGGAAGCTGTGTGAGCTCAGTTATTTAAAGAAGACGCTGTCACCTGTAAGTGTGAATTAAATTCAGAAGGTAGTTCTGTGAAGTCCCATGTCTATTGTCCAATCAGATTGCTTGGTTTCCATTTCATCCACTTGTTGTAAAAAATAAACTAATAGTAAATAGCAACTATTCTGACGATATAATTTAAAATAATAATAACACCCTGAGAGAAAAGTAGGCTACGACGGTGGATTAGGGCCATGTTAATTTTTTTTTATGACTTTATTCTCGTAAATTTACGACTTTATTCACGTTAATTTACGACTTTATTCATGTAAATTTACGACTTTATTCTCGTAAATTTACGACTTTATTCACGTAAATTTACGACTTTATTCACGTAAATTTACGACTTTATTCACGTTAATTTACGACTTTATTCACGTAAATTTACGACTTTATTCTCGTAAATTTACGACTTTATTCACGTAAATTTACGACTTTATTCACGTTAATTTACGACTTTATTCACGTAAATTTACGACTTTATTCTCGTAAATTTACGACTTTATTCACGTAAATGTACGACTTTATTCTCGTTAATTTACGACTTTAATCTCGAATTTTTTATTTTTTATTTTTTTTAACGTGGCCCTAATCCTCCGTCTTGTCCTAAGCTAGGACATTATTATAAAAATATTGTTGTTTTATTACAAGACATATTTTAATCTTTATTCAGCTCATAGACTAGTCGATATGTCACTTTTATTTTGGTGGGTACAGTAGTCATGTGACCGCCCTCTCAGGTCATATGACCCACACAGTGAGTCGCTGAGCAGTTTGCACATCTCCGTGTAGATGAGCTGAGGACAACGCTTCCGGGTTTCTCTCTTTTGTTTCATTTGAAGATTCATTTTTATAAAGACGACTTCTCGTCAAACCTTTTGATCAGCTGCTCTGACATGGAGACAAGAAGCCGGCTCGCTGCTCTGTCGCTGCTTCTCTCCGCAGTGTTTTCCTCCTGTGTCCTTTTGATAAACCCCAAAGAGGTACAGTAACTAAAACTATCCAACAGAAGCCTCACGACAACATACAGCAGCGCTGCTTTGAGTGCACATCAGGCTTAAGTTTTAAAAGTGTTTCAGTAGAGAGGTGGTAAAAGTGTTAACAGAGCTTCATTTAAACTGAACTTTTTATTTTTATTTTCGTTTTAGCTCAACACAGCTTTTTAAAAATGTGTTTTTATTTATTCTGTGCAAACCACATCATAATTATTTATAAGAGATAATAATTGTGTAGACTTGTTTTGAGATTTTCTTATAATAAAATAAAACTCTGATTAAAAGAATTGATTCCCAATGTGGTGATCACATGCTCGTCTTACCTGTCAGCTGATTCAGGTAAACCTGCCAGAACTGGTTTATGACCCTGTCTACATCTGCTTGTCTCTGTGTGTGTGTGTGTGTGTGTGTGTGTGTGTGTGTGTGTGTGTGTGTGTGTGTGTGTGTGTGTGTGTGTGTGTGTGTGTGTGTGTGTGTGTGTGTGTGTGTGTGTGTGTGTGTGTGTGTGTGTGGTGTGTGTGTGTGTGTGTGTGTGTGTGTGTGTGTGTGTGTGTGTGTGTGTGTGTGTGTGTGCAGATTGATCCGCTGCTGTATGAGGAGCAGCTGCTGTGGGTGAGCGGGGCTCAGGGGGAGGTCAGCGCCTTCAGGATCCCACTGCTCAGCTTCACCCCTAACGGAAGCCTGCTGGCCTTCACAGAGGGCAGGAAGTCCTCGTCCAGCGATTATGGAGCGAAGTTCATCGCGATGCGGCGGTCCACAGACAAAGGTAGGACCACCGGAACACGACCACCCAGTCAGATACACACATGATGACACACCGGCTGTAAACAAATTCAGTACTCCACAATCACATCACCTAACCACAGTTTGCTGATCATAATTGTTTTTTATATTTTTATAAAGTTACTTATTTTCTGGAGCTCTCAGCTTCATCTTCAGGCCCTCATGAGGGGTTGGAGTTTACTCACAGAGGAAGAGGATGTTGTGAAAAATGTCTTCAACCATCGTGCTCTTAACAAAGTCAAGACTGAACCGCTGAAATGGGCTCTGAGCTGAGAGACAGGAAACATTTATGTAAGACTACAGAGGAACTACACTGACTTGAAAATCTCCTTATTTCAGTTTTTTTTCATTTCTCAATCATCCTTTTAATTTGCTAAACAGTGAGGGCAAATACTCACAACAACACTCGTAAAAAAAGCCCATAACTTGCTTTAAATCCTCAGTTCATCTCATAATAAGGAAATGAAAATGTCAGTGAGCAGGTTAGTTATTTTTAGAGAAGTAGGAAATAATGTCGTCTGTGTGGGCCACTAAAAAGCAGGACTGGCGGTTCTGGAGGTAACTAAAGGGTTAACTGTGGGTTCTCAGTCGGCCTGCTACAAAAGTGGATCACTTCTTACCGGGGTGAACTTTACCACGGTACCTGAACACCTGACCTGCTCCGGAGCGGGTTCTGGATGTTTTACTGGCTCCACATCGATCTGTTTGTTACCTTCAGGCTGCAGAGAGAAATTTAAAATAACTGTCATCTGAGAATAAAATGGATTTAAGGAAACAACGAGGAGTTATTATAGTCATTTCTTACATGTACTAAACATGGGAAAGAGTTATGATCAACCTTTTATTTGTGCTTTGACTTTGATATGTCAAGACAACAAAATTCAATGGAAAAAAAACAAAACTTTCTTCTGCACCAGAGTATCAAATCCTGTACTAATGTGCAAAAACATTCACATTTCAGTGTCATCACTGTACGGTTATTACAAGAGTGGACGTCTGCATTGTCTGACACAAATGTTTACATCATCAGATATACTGTGTGATGACAGAAACTCTACTATGAGACATATGCAGGCATTATTAACATGAAAGAAATTGATTGACCTAACAGGAGGATGCTCAATATGCATCAGAAGGCCGAGTTTAGAGAAGCCCTGATGTGAGATGTGGTGGTCTGCACGCATGGTGCACAGGTGTTTTTATCGTCTCCTCCGTCCCTGCAGGTTCCACCTGGTCCCCCACCACCTTCATCGTGGACGACGGCATGACGCCGGACGGCCTGAACCTGGGCTCGGTGGTGGTGGACGAGGAGGTGGGCTCGGTGATCCTGGTCTACTCCATCTGCTTCCACCTGTACCACTGCCACCCGGCCAGCACCATGATGGTGGAGAGCAGGGACGACGGCCTCAGCTGGGGCCCGCCCAGAAACCTCTCCGTCCAGCTCGGCGTCAAGAACTTCGCTCCCGGGCCGGGCTTTGGAATCCAGGTGAGAGGACGAGGAAAAAACAAACTGAATCATGGGAAGTCTTGAGCTGTTCTGTGGTTGGAGAGGGAGATTTCATTTGGGCTGAATGACTTTTAATGCCTTGTGGAAGTCAAATTGGGAGTGTTGTAGTCAAGACCACACTAACCGAGACCAAGACATGCCCGAGACCAGAACACTCCGAGACCAAGGCCGAGACATTTAGGGATCGAGACCGAGTAAAGACTAAAGCAGGGCGAGACTGAGACAAGACGAGGACCATAAATATCAAAGAAAAATCTTCATCTTGTGCTGCAGGCGGGTCACTAACTTAGACCGTAACACTGGGAAGTTTCTGGATGTAACCAGGGGGGAAAAAATCAAACTATTTATGAATTGAAGTAATTTGTCCTTTAACAAAGAGGTGTTTTCGGGGTGCTGGTGGCGCAGTGGTTTGTGTGCGCGCCCCATGTATGGAGGCTGTAGTCTTCCAAGCAGGCGGCCCAGGTTCAAATCCCACCTGAGGCTCCTTTCCTGCAGGTCATTCCCCACTCTCTCTCTCCCTCATTTCCAACTCTATCCACTGTCCTATCTCTCAAATAGACGCACAAAAAGCCCTAAAATAAAATATAAAGAAAGAAAAAAAAAGAAAGAGGTGTTTTCCTTCTAATCAAAGTAATGATGTGGAAAAATAAAACTATCAATAGAGGTCTTGACCAGTCTTGATTTAAAATCCGGAGTCCCCCAAGACCGAGTAAAAATGCTTTCGATTCCGAGACGAGGCGTTCAAAAAGTGGTCTCCAGACCAAGACCGATTTCCAGTACGACAACACTACAAATCTACCAGTTTGAATAAGATAGCTGCAGGTAAGTAAACACCTGTTCTGATTTGAGGTGTTAAATTGAGACTTTATACTTGAAGTAAAATCACGTCAGGAAAAACCTCCGCTAGTGTAAACTTAGATTTTATTTTATAAACTTTTACAACAGAGAAAAGTCAATTATTTATACTACAGTTAGAATTATACATTATTCAGTGTTCAAACTGGCTGAGCTTTAATTATAATGCAGATTAATTTTTCTGTATTTAAATGAAAGAGGAAGTTTTGAGGGACATTTTTTTTTAAAGAAGTGAAATTCTCTGTGTCTGTGAAACTGGGGATATTATCTGATCTGTTCCTCTTGTAATGTCTGTATAAAAGTGGTTTATTCTTTGGGTTGTGACTCAATGCTATGTTCAACCTGTACAATATAATAATGCCATGTTTCTATAGTAGCAAGCTCAACAATGTTTGTATTAATCCCATTTATTCTCCAAAATGAGAGCGCTGGTTAAGATTAGATTTCCCAGATTTGGGCTTTTTGTAAACCTGCATGTTAGCTGCATTAAAAGCTGACTGTGTGGGATTTGATAGCTTTGTAAAAGAGTCAACAGATTCATTATGTCATTTGAGGAGACTTGTGTAATTGTGTAAATGAGTGGCTTGTGATTCCTCATGCTCAGTCTGAGCCGAGCATCTGTCCAGTTATTGTTTTTGCTCATGCCACTTTTTATGACACTAAACCTTCTGTTGTCCCGCAGCAGATCAGTCACTCTGGATAATAAATATGGTTCATATTATGATATATTAGTGGGATGAATAACCTTCCTGTGTCATACATCTCTTTGTTTCTCATCGATTGCAGCAACCTTTTTTATTTATTTTTGCTCACATTTGCATAAACTAGTCTCTGTTTGCATCATTTCCTCATTGTGTGTGTGTGTGTGTGTGTGTGTGTGTGTGTGTGTGTCTACATCTTCGTTTAACAGAAGCACTTCCAGCCAGCTAAGGGGAGGTTAGTGGTGTGTGGTCACGGGACGCTGGAGGGAGACGGAGTGTTCTGCATCCTGAGCGACGACCACGGGAAGAAATGGTACAACGGTGCCGCGCTGAAAAGCATTCCTTACAACCAGAAGAAGAAAGCGCAGGACTTCAACCCTGACGAGTGCCAGGTACAAGAACATCTGCTTGTTTGTGAAAATCACACATATGACTGTAGCTTGAATACCAGACGGTGATACAATGAAATATTTTTAAAGAAAATGGTTAGAACTTCTTACAACTGACTTGTCTCTCTCAGTGATCCAGTGTTGTGCTCACATGTCTACAACCATCAGGTTGTAGACATGTGAGACATCAGTGACTGAGAAGCTAAATGATCTCTCTTCCTTCTTTTTGATGTCCTTACACTATAGATGTGTCATTTCCTTTTTTTCAAATTGGAGATATTTTAACAGCAAATTCATCACCCTCTGAAACGTGTTTCCTCAAAGACTCACATTTCTGACTGAGAATTATCACCCAGCTCTGCAGCTCTATTAACCCTTGAAGCCTCTATGTTCAGTGTTAGATCTCTATTGACCTGTAGAGTCAGCAGGTTTTGTTTCTACAAATTAAAGGCTTTATGTGATTTGCTAGCGATCTTTATTATGCTGGTATCTTCACACTGCATGTAAATTTACCTGAAATGAGCGTGATCTAGAAACACAGTTAAGCAGTGAATACAGTATGTTATTCTTCTTTTCTCTAGTCCCTCAATTAAACAACTTTTATACACGAGGGGAGGAGTCAGCCGGCCGTCCTGGCGATGTAAACAAAGTGAAGATAGGACTCTGAAAACTCTGAAAACTCTGAAAACATCACAGACAGTGGGACTCGGGTGTTACACCCATTGTAGACAGTCATGACTCACAGAGTTATTTTCAGAGGATAACTTGATTTATTATATTTAAGAGTGAAAAATCACATTAGACTTTAATAGAAGAAGACAAAAGTCTGCTCCTATGAAGAGTTTTTTAGCTGGTAATGAAACTGAAATGAATAATGATGCCTCCTATATGACAAAAAAGACCAACAGTGAAAATACAGTTGAGTCATTTTAACGCTAGTAACCACAGTGTAGGTGTCAAAGTGAGATCCAGCACAGCAAAGATTCACAGTGAGTGAAATGTTTGAGCGTCAAAAACATCAAATGTGTTCTTTTAGTTTACAGGAAGAGCATCTCCTAATGCATGCTAGTGTTGTATTGTATCCTCAGAATGTGTGAATGGGTAATCACTATAGTGTGGTCTGTCTGCTTTTTATGGAGGTCACTGCCCCCTAGTGGAAAAAATCAATATAAATGTGTATTTTTAAACACTGAATTTACCTGAACTGTTGTCATGCTTTTGCTGCAATAATAGCAATGTGTCATAATATTAAAAACATTTTCAATTGCTGAGCATTAGTAAAGTACAGCCCCCCACCCCCCCCCCCCCTCTGTGCCCCTGCAGCCGGTCGGATGAGGACGACGGCAGCATTGTCATCAATGTGCGGAACCAGAACAACTATCACTGTCA